GGTGGCTGGATACTGTTTGAGGAAGCTATGTGCATGTGGAGAAAAGCAGCAGCAGCAGCAAGCAAGCCCCAGAGACAACCATAGAAACACTTGTAGCAGGACCCTGAGCTAGGGGAGAGAGCTTTGGGGTACAGTGCTGGCTGGAAGGAGGCTTGGAGCTGTGAACAAAGAAACTGTCTCCTGCTGTATGATTCCTACTGTGTTCAGAGAAACAACCTTTGTACATTCTTTGTAAATAAATATGATTGCATCAAGAAATGCCTGATTCGATCATCTGTTTCTCCCCCTAGCAGAAACAACCTTTAGGAGCCTGAATAGTAACTAACCACTAAGGTCACAGGGAGTAACAGCAGATATAGAAAACATTAAATCAAAGCGATTGCTGCAGGGGTACCGTGGCAGCAGTTTACTCCATGGAGACTAAACTGGCCCCCGGTTTACACAATCCCATTACTGGATCTAGCTCTGGAGAGCTCAGTTCATCTGTGCACTCAATTTTGGGAAAGCAGGTTAATTCTGCTTGCCTACCCACTCCGTACCACCTCCATAAACTAAAGTTTAAGTGCTAGCTCTGACTACAAGCGCTCCTCCCCCCCACAGAGGCGTGGCGCCTATCCCCCCATTCCCTCCTCCACAGGCCTGTGTAGGGCACCAAAATAGCTAGGGATGGCGCTGCTTGGTCCCCAGTTGTGTACATCACAAAGCCACTGTGCACTTTGAACAGCTCACCAGACATGAAGGGCTGGAATAGATGGGGTGTTGCAGGTACATAGCTAAACTGTACAACTGTGTTAGGTCATGCCTGGCTCTAGCCTCTGCTAGTAATCCCTTATTTTCAAGAACCCCTGTTGACTGTCAATGGGAACTAGTGACTGGGAGAAGAGGCTGGCACTCAGGAGACTCGAGTTCTATTCCTGGCTCTGCCGCTGACCTTCCTGGATGAGCTTGGGTCAGTCATTTCCCCTCCATGTGCTTCAACATCCCCCACTGCAAACGGGGATTAATAATGTGCTCTCTGCTTAGAAAAGGGCTGGCCTCAGATGAGAGGCCCTACCAAAATGCAGAGTACCCTGGAGAGTCCCCTCAGCGTGTAAGGAACTAAACCAAAAACACGCTCTCTTGCAAACTGCAGCTCCTTCCTAACCCATTGGCATTTCTGTAGAGCAGTGGTTCTCAAACTTTAGCAACCTGAGGATCCCCGTTTTGATTTAAAATTTTTCAGAGATTCGCAAATCCCCCACTCAGCCCTGGGCCTCACCCCCTCTCCAACGGTGCCCCTCTTCCACACCCCTTTCCACCCCCTCCCCGAAGCATGCCCTGTACTTGCACCTCCCCCTCCCTCCCAGTGCCTCCTGTATGCCCTTACAGACCCCAGTTTGAGAAATGTGGCTGTAGAGTATTTCATGTGGCCCGCGCCCTGTCTGTTCTGTGGCAAGCTGAGCCTAACTCCTGTGACAAGGCCTTGAGGGATGGCAGTGCTAAATCCCACAGTGCCCTAGGAGGCAAGTGGGTTGAATGTAAGGTGAACAGGCCAGCCTGTGACAATAGTTTGGTATAATCTCCATTGCAGGAGGTCTTGTGTGACGATAGTGTGGTATAATCTCCATTGCAGGAGGTCTTGTGTGACGATAGTGTGGTATAATCTCCATTGCAGGAGGTCTTGATTTACTCTGCCCTCTAGTGTCTTGTGTGCTGCGGCATGCTATACTTGCACTGCGTGGGGACTGAAATGGTTGCAGAGGAGGCAGGAGTCTGTATGGCTCCCGCTCGTGTGTGTATACCCTGTATCCGTGCAGCAGAGTTGGGGACCGTTAGGCTGGGAGGCAGTTTGGGCGTTTGCCACCCGAGTTCAGTGGAGGTTTTGGCACTGGGGTGGCACTGCATAGAATCATAGAATATTAAGGTTGGAAGAGACCTCAGGAGGTCATCTAGTTCAATCCCCTGCTCAGAGCAGGACCAACACCAACTAAATCATCCCAGACAAAGCTTTGTCAAGCCTGGCCTTAAAAACCTCCCTAGGTAACCCATTCCAGTGCTTCACCACCCGCCTAGTGAACTAGTGTTTCCTAATATCCAACCTAGACCTCCCCCACTGCAACTTGAGACCATTGCTTCTTGTTCTGTCGTCTACTACCACTGAGAACAGCCTAGCTCCATCCTCTTTGGAACCCCGCTTCAGGTAGTAGAAGGCTGCTATCAAATCCCCCCTTACTCTTCTCTTCTACAGACTAAATAAGACCAGTTCCCTCAACCTCTCCTCATAAGTCATGTGCCCCAGCCCCCTAAGCATTTTTGTTGCCCTCCACTGGACTCTCTCCAATTTGTCCAAATCCCTTCTGTAGCGCGGGGACCAAAACTGAACGCAGTACTCCAGGTGTGGCCTCACCAGTGCCAAATAGAGGGGAATAATCACTTTCCTCGATCAGCTGGCAGTGCTCCTACTAATACAGACCAATAGGCCGTTGGCCTTCTGTTGACTCATATCCAGCTTCTCATCCACTGTAATCCCCAGGTCCTTTTCTGCAGAACTGCTGCTTAGCCAGTCGGTCCCCAGCCTCTAGCGGTGCATGGGATTCTGCCTTCCTAAATGCAGGACTCTGCACTTGTCCTTGTTGAACCTCATCAGATTTCTTTTGGCCCAATCCTCCAATTTGTCTAGGGGACTCTGGACCCTATCCCTACCCTCCAGCTTATCTACCTCTCCCCCAGCTAAGTATCATCTGCACATTTGCTGAGGGTGCAATTAATCCCATCATCCAGTTCATTAATTAAGATGTTGAACAAAACCAGTCCCAGGACCTGGGGAACTCCACTTGATACCAGCTGCCAACTAGACATCGAACCGTTGATCACTACTTGTTGAGCCCAACATTGTAGCCAGCTTCCTATCCACTTTATAGTACATTCATCCAATCCATACTTCCATTTTAACTTGCTGGTAAGAATACTGTCATCAGACTGTATCAAAAGCTTTGCTAAAGTCAAGATATATCACATCCACCACTTTCCCCATATTCACAGAGCCAGTTATCTCATCATAGAAGGCATGATGTTGGTCAGGCATAACTTGCCCTTGGTGAATCCATGTTGACTCTTCCTGATCATCTTCCTCTCCTCCACCTGCCTCAGAATGGACTCCTTGAGGACCTGCTCCATGATTTTGCCAGGGACCGAAGTGAGTCTGTAGTTCCCCGGGTTCTCCTTCTTTCCTTTTTAAAATATGGGCACTATATTTGCCTTTTTCCAATTGTCCTGATCACCACAAATTTTCAGAGATAATGGCCAATGGCTCTGCCATCACATCAGCCAACTTCCTCAGCACCCTTGGATGCATTAGATCTGGACCCATAGACTTGTGCACATCCAGCTTTTCTAAATAGTCCTTAACCAGTTCTTTCACCACTGAGGGCTGCTCACCTTCTCCCCGTACTGTGTTGCCCAGTGCAGCAGTCTGAGAGCTGACCTTGTCTGTGAAGATCGAGGCAAAAAAAGTGTTGAGTACTTCAGCTTTTTCCACATCATCTGTCACTATGTTGCCTCCCCCATTCAGTAAGGGTCCCACACTTTCCCTGACCACCTTCTTGTTGCTAACATACCTGGATAAACCCTTTTTGTTACCCTTCACATCTTTTGCTAGCTG